GTGGGGACATCAGGCACAGGTTGGGGACAAGCACACAGGGTGGGGACAAGGACACAGAGTGGGGGCAAGGACACAGAGTGGGGACAAGCACACAGGTTGAGGACAAGGACACAGAGTGGGGACAAGGACACAGGGTGGGGACATCAGGCACAGGTTGGGGACAAGGACACAGAGTGGGGACAAGGACACAGAGTGGGGACATCAGGCACAGGTTGGGGACAAGCACACAGGGTGAGGACAAGGACGCGGGGTGGGGACAAGGACACAGGGTGAGGACATCAGGCACAGGGTGGGGACAAGGACACGGGTGGGGACAAGCACACAGGTGGGGACAAGGACACAGGTGGGGACAAGCACACAGGGTACCCCCAAGAAGGCCAAATCCGACCGAACTGACCCAAGTGACCGCACACACCGGAGGCCTTGCCGTCCCCAAACGGGGCGACAGCGCCACGGCCACCTCTGGGGACGCGTCCTGCGGGTGTCCCCGCGCAGGCCTGGCCATGTCGGCCATCACCGTCATCATCCTCGTGCTCTACTTCGTCATCGAGACCTTCGTGGTGCAGGGCCGGCCCTGGCTGGCCGAGTGCGCCCCGGTCTACGTCCAGTACTGGGTCAAGTTCTTCATCATCGGCGTCACCGTGCTGGTGGTGGCCGTCCCCGAGGGGCTCCCGCTGGCCGTCACCATCTCGCTGGCCTACTCCGTCAAGGTGGGGGGCACGGGGAGGGGGGTCTGTGCCTCCCTTTGTCCGTCCGCCCGTCCGCGTCCGTTTGTCCATCGTCCCGCCCGTTTGTGTCCAGCTGGCTGGCTGTCCCTCCGTGTCCCTTTGTCCTTCCGTGTCCATCTGTCCCTCCGTGTGTCTTTGTCCCTCCGTGTCCCTTTGTCCCTCCGTGTCCATCTGTCCCTCCATGTCCCTTTGTCCCTCCGTGTCCCTTTGTCCCTCCGTGTCCATCTGTCCATCCGTGTCCATCTGTCCATCCGTGTCCCTTTGTCCATCCGTGTCCATTTGTCCCTCCATGTCCATCTGTCCCT